GAGCAGCCATCTTGGATCTTGAGATAGAAAACCCACGTGGGGAATGGCACCAAGCCAGAAGGATCCTGCATCCCAGGGAACCATGTGGACCAGGATTAGCATATTCTCCTCAACTACCTTCCCACTTGGACTTTTCAAGGAGAGAGAAATATGCTTTGAGAATGTTTCTGTCACTGTTCTTCTGAGTTTTTTGTTACAGCAGCCATGTGTGCAATTTCATGAATACAGCATACTTATCTGTGAAAGGTGAGCTGTAATGTTTACTTCAGAGAGTCATTGTCAGGATTAAAAGAGCTGATTTTTTTTTTTTTTTCAAACACCCATCAGGTATTCAACACATACTAGGGGTCCAACACACATATAATGGGATTCTAAGTTGCACCATACAGCTTCCCTCTCCAGGACCAAGACATTCACTCTCTCAGCTGCTGGGTATATACCCTGTTGATTGTTCACACCCGAGTCCCTTTCCAAGCACTTGTCTCATCAAAGGTAGCTGACTTGCTCAAGAGTTGTTCCCCTCAATGGGCGGTTGCTGCAATAAAAAGCCGAGACTCCTTGTCTAGTTCTTACACCAGAGCTAGTTTTCAGACCTGACCTATTGCCTGAAGGAGAGGCTGGGTCCCAGGAAGGAGGGATCCTGCAACACTGTGGCAAGAGTATGTGGTAATGATCCCCTGATCCTTCCCTAAGGCCACTTGTGGTCATTTACTTGAGTAACAAGGGAAAAAGGGAATATCCAGATATTTTGAAGACACAGAGTCCAAGCTCATTGATACTCAGGGACTGAATCATCATCAAGCCTCCATTAATAGGGGTCCACACAGACAGCAGGAGTTCCTAGGTGGTGCAAACAGTTAACACTCAGCTGCTAACTGAAAGGTTGGAGGTTCAAGTCCACCCAGAGGCATTTTGGAAGAAAGACCTGGTGATCTACTTCTGAAAAATCAGCCATATGGGAAACCGTATGGGGCGCAGTTCTGCTCTGACCCATATAGGGTCATAATGAGTCAGAACTGACTTGATGGCAACTGGTTATATAGAGACCAGGCAATAAATGGAGTGCTGGCTCAGATCCAGAGCACAGTGGCTCCACTTGATTCATGGTCATTTCCCTGGTCCTCAAATGTATAGTTGGAATGGACATTCTAGGTACCTTGGCTTGTGGGATCAGAGTCATGGTAATGGAAAAGGCTGAGAGGAAGCCTATGAAGTTGTGCCCTCACCTCCATAGCTAAAAGAGTAAATCAGAAACAATATTATATCCTGAGGGGAATAGCAGATACCAGCACAGCTCTTGTAGACCTAAAGGATGCCTGGATGATGGTGGACTTGGGTCTGGAGGACAGGAGTGGACCACCACAAACTGACCAGGGAGACCACCTGTTGCAGCTGCTGTGCCAGTTGTGGTATCTTGGCTAGAGCACATTAACATGGTCTCAGACACAAGGTGAGTAATCATTGGTTTGGCAAATGCATTCTTTCCCATCTCTGCTAGGAAGGAGGATCAGAAACTGTTTGCATCCACATGGGATGAACAGTAGTACACATGTAGAGTTGTGCCCGAGGGTTGTATCAACTCTGTCATAATATAGTGTGAAGGGGTCTGAACACCACAGTGGTCCACTGTATCGATGACATCATGTTGAGCAAGCCAGATGAGCTAGAAGTGGAAAGTATATTGGAGGCCTTGGTGAGACAGGTGCTCTGAATAATGGGACATAAACCCTACTGAGATTCAGGGGTTTGTCACATCAGTGGAGCGTTTAGGTGGTCTGGTCCATTTTGAGTTATCCACTCCAAAGTACAGAACAGGTTATTGCATATTGCATCTCATACCGCTTGGGAGGAGACACACACATCTGGTTGACCTCTTTGAGTCCTAGAGGCAGTGATTCCACCCCTGGAAATGCTGCTTCAACTCATTTACTGAGTGATATAGGAGGCTGCCTGCTCCCAGGAGTAAGGCCCAGGGCAGAAAAGGGCTCTGCAGTGGCTCCAGGCTGCAGTAAAATGACTCTTTGGGCCATGCCACTCAAGGACCGTATGGGGTATTAACAACGTCAATAGTGAGAAAGAGTACTGTACAATTTATGGTGGGCACCAATGGGAGAATCGCAATGCAGACCCCTAGGGTTCTGGAACAAGGCCATGAATCTGCAGTAGAGAGTTATACCCCATTCAATAAGCAGTTCCTGGAATGCTACCAGGCCCTGGTAGAGACAGAGGGCCTGACCATGGAACGCTATGTAACTAAGAAGTCAGGGAAGGTTCTGACTGACCTACCACATCATAAAGTCAAGTGAGCTCAACAGGACTCCTTTGTAAGTGGTGTACCCAGGGACAGGTGTGAACAGGGTCAGAGGGCACAGAAAAGCTCAGGTACAGGTAGCCCAGACTCCCAAGTCAGATGCTAATCTGCTTCTCCCTCAGCTCATCCCAAGTCTGCATGGATGGGTCCTCTATGACCCTCTGACAAAGGAGGAAAATGCCTGAGTTGGTTCAATGGTGGATTGGTTTAGTATGTGAGTGCAAGTAAAAAAATGGTCTACTGACCTATATTGCTGTTGTTGTTATGGGCCGTGGAGTTGGACCCGACTCATAGCGACCCCTTCTTG